GAGGGTCTAGGCCCGAAACGTCAGCCTCCCTGCTCCTCTGATGCTGCTTGGTCTGCTGTGTTCATCCAGCTCTACATCTTGTTATCTCAGATTCTCCAGGATCTGCAGTTCCTACTATCTCTACCTGCTTACTGTTAGGTTTCATTCTGGTTAGGGATTCTTTACTGGGCTAGATACCTATAGTGTAGATCAAAGTTTTCATGTTTTGTGCACAGAATACTCAAATCTTAAGAGGTGGATTGCATGGTTATCTCCAGCTGCATAGATATGCTGCAGAAAACTTGCAGTCCCTTGAGGATCTTTCTTCTACTACATTTTTCTTTAAAAATATCATTCTTCCAATATCAGCTAATTGGCAGGCCAGCATTTATTGCTCAACACTAGTTGCATTTCAAAAGGTGGTAGTGAGTTGTTTTCTAGAATCGCTGCAGTCCATTTGGCACAAGCAGCCCTGCAATGCTATTCGGGAGGAAGTTCCAGGGCTGTGACCCAATGACAATAAAGGAACAGCAATATATTTCCCATTCAGGATGATGATTGGTTTGGTGGTGAACCTGCAGGTGGGGGGTTTCCATGTATATGCTGCCCTTGTCCTTCTGGATGGCAGTAGTCGTAGGCTTGGAAGATACTGTCTAAAGAACCGTTGTGAATTTCTGCAATGCATCTTATAGATGGTTCACACTACTGCTACTGAATGCAGGTGGTGAAGGGAGTGATTGTTAACGAAAGTGGTGCCAATTAAGTGGGCTACTTTATGGTGATGGTGTTAAGCTTCAGTGTTGCTGGAGTTGCACTCATCTGGGCAAGTGGGTAGTATTCCATCACACTCCTGTCTTTGTGCCACATAGGTGTTGTCCAGGCTTTGGGGAGTCAGGCAGCGAGATAATCAGTGTAGGAGTCCTAGGCCCTGATCAGATTTTTTAGCCACAATATTTATATGACTAGGCCAATCAAATATCTAGTTAATGGTAACCCCAGGATATACTGTGGGGGCATTTAGCAATAATAATGCTAATGAATGTCATGGGTTTGGTTAGATTTTCTCATGTTGGAGGGGGTAATTGACTGGCACTCATGTTGTAAATATTACTTGCCACCTGTCAGCCCACACCTGGATATTGTCTAGTATTTGCAGCACTTGGAGATACAGACTGTTTCAGTATTTAAGGAGATGCAAAAATGGTGTGAACATTGTGCAATCAGCAACAAACATTCCTACCTCTGACATTATGATGGAGGGGAGGTCAATGATGATACAACAGAAAATATGTGGGCCTGGGACAATACCCTGAGGAACTCCTGCAGAGATGTCTTGGAACTGAGATGTCTGAGTTCCAACAATAACTATCTTCCTTTGTGCTGATTATGACTCCAGGCAGTGGAGAGTTCTCCCACATCATCTTGGCTAATTGTGGAGCACACATCTTCAGGAACATTGCCATAATGTTTGCAGTCTCCACTGTGTTCATCCACGGAGTAAATTTAATTGGATGAAGATTGGCGTCTGTGATGCTGGGGACCTCTGGAAGAGGCCTCTGCTTAAAACCATTATGTCTGAGCTAGCCATTTGTAGTGAGCCACAGCTAATAATGTGTTGTTTTAATTGCTATTTTCACTGTATGCCGGGTTGCCATTATATGTTTGAAAGTGCACTAGTGTTGTGATTTTAACACCTTTTGGTTTATATTGTTAATTATGCTAGCATTATGGCTTAGATTTCAATTACCTCAGCTGCCACACATGCAAATGTGTCTCCAGTTCTCTTCACAGATGCTGTCTGACCTGCTGTGTGTTTACAGCATTTTGTTTTCATTTTTATAAATGAAGTTAGCTACTTAGTGGGTATTCTCACAAGTTAGTGGCAAGGTAGCAAATATTACTCCATGAATATTCATCTAAAGCAACAAGCATCTTCCTCTCCTTTTACTTGATGTCTAACTTGCTTTATTGAAATTTACGTCGGTAATAAAAATCAGTTTGAATTTCACAATATGCATTAAAACCAAGGGTATATATAAACTATTTCTTACCTAATATATTCTCGTGGCGAAGAAGAACAGTATTATAAATTTCAGTCTCTCGAAACCAAGATTTTTCATCTCTAGATGAGAAGATTTTCACCGCAACATTTTCTCCTTGCCACTGGCCTCTCCAAACTTCTCCATAGCGACCCTTTCCTGTTTAAGGTGGAGGAGAAAAAGGAAACTTTTTAAAAAATAGTTCTTTGGCTATATTTTGTGATGCAGAAATTTATACTGTATAGGTAAAGGAAGCATATTTCCTTTCTGAGCTCTTTAGACTGAACCAACAATTCAAGATGAAAATATTTATCAAAAAATTACAGTTTTCCACAGAAATATCATGGACTTGTCAATTTATCTCAAATTTTCTAGTCCTCAGTTGTGCTCAATAATGTTGGAAATAAAGATGAATTCAACAAAAGCATCAAGCAAATTATCAGATTAAGAGATACGGGGAAAACAAACAGCATGTTTAGATACAGTAGGGCAAAAGCAAAATGAAAACAAAGCAATGTAAATCTAAAATAAATAAGCCGGTTGGTAAACATAGTAACTTGCATTCTAGCAGTTTTTCAAACTTGGCACAGTTATCTCATTGTATCTATAACACATATCAATATTGCACTGTGCCTAGACCTATTACACAAGTACTATAATATGTAAACCTGTTGCCACATCTAAGTAAATATTTTGCATTTTACCCCACAAACATTATTTCAGTTTCTAACAGTTTTGGAACATTTTATTCTCTTGATGATATTGTATCTACTCAGTGTCACTAACTGTTCACTTGCCCCGCAAATTTGATTGGGAGATTCAGGTGACTTTTTAACCATTATATTTAACTATTTGTCCTGATTATTTTGAGGAACCAACAATTCACAACTGATAACTTAACAAATGTTTGGCATTTGGCATCTGCTATATCACCTTTAGCTTTGACTACATATTACCATTACAGTTTTCACAATACAATCATTTTTAAAATCTCTGTTGCTGTGATTTCTAAAGATAAGCTGTTCCATGGTTCATGATTTGAAGATACATAGAAAAAAATAATTTGCAGAGTTTTGTTTTCGTGCATTGCAAACTGTTACAAATTATCAACAGTTCAAGCTTGATTATTTTAGTATTTCAGCAAACCTTGCAATTTTGCTTGCTCAGTTCCTCTACCCACAAGATTCTTCATTAGTCGAGCGAGGAAACCTTAATGTAAATATTTGTCTGCTGGGTGTTTTGCTTTACTGTCTGGATTATAACATTTAACTTCTTAAATGGTTAATATGTCAAAGGTTGTTTTAATGTATAAACACATTTGCCTTTCTAATTTGATAATTTTGTGTTTATTCGTATCAGGTAAATTTTTTCTAGATACTTGGCATGTTAAAACAAAATCATACATTTCTACAAACATTTGGCCATTTTATAAGGAAAAGCAAAAGCTTTCAAAACTGGAGTTGTTTCAGGAAATTCCTGTCTACCTGGGTCAATCATTTTTGCAGAATTTCAGTAGAGCTACTGTAAAATTTTACAACTCTAATACCAAAAAACCTAGTCTTTCTATCCTTTAATTACTTTGCACTTTGTTAAAATTGTTCACCCTTTTTTTCTTGACAATTCCCTGCTTCCCAACTCATTTTGAAAACGAGTGAAAGTGACAAATAAGTCCGTCATCAACAAAATATAAAATAACAATATAGTTTGCCAATCCAGCAAACTAACTGAAATGTCCATATTCTTGTTTGCCCAGTGGCATAGTCAAAAAGTCTATTTTAAGTAAACATTGCTCAAATTAAATAGTTTCTTTATCAGTGGGGGAGTAGAGGGTTACAGGAAAATGCAGGAAAGTGGAGCCGAAGAATGTCAGATCAGCCATAATGTTACTGAATGGCAGAGCAGGCTCAAGAGTCTGAATGATCTACTCATGCTCCTATTTCTTCTGGTCTTATGATCTAAGCTGCATCTTGCTTTACTCACCTACACATTCCATCAAAGTGATTTGTCTGGCAACTGTGCGTTGTACTAAGAATGGCAAACCTGATCCACTGCCTGATGTACGAGAGTGATCAAGCAAATCCTAAGAATAAAGAATAAAAAACAATATAGAAGTGACAATCAGTAGTGTCTAGTTACAACAATTCAAAGTCACATTTGAAGTCTGACCTAAATGATATTTTCACAATTGTTCTCTTTGGAGATAGTTTACGTTGAGTCAGGGACTCAGAAGAAATTGGGAAGGCCACCTAAAGAAAGAGATTAATGTAGCACAATGTAAACTGATTTTTAAAACGGCGATATTGTTCACAGACCACCACTGTGCAGTCACCAAGAAATAACTGAATAGAAAGTATGGTTTCCTAAAAACTTATTCCATGCTTGATCCCTCTCTATCCACAGCTCATCTTTGCCAAAACTGAAGTGAGAATTAAATGGTACAACTAATTTCAGTATCTTAATTAGATGATTTTGCAAGAACTTTGAACAACTTTGAAAGTAAGCATGCAAGGTATGAAATATAAAGGTCTTTATGAAAGTTGAGCCAATGCAGATGAGAAAACCAGTGTCAGATTTTATTATCCAATTATTAATTGAAAAGTGTTTAACATCTAGATGTCTCACCTGACAAGATGAAAAGTCAAATCAAAGAGCTTGATACAAAGTGTTGGCCATATTTGAAAACTACACTGCATATAACTGAAAGGTGAAGGACTGTCAATTTCTTGTAAACAGCTTAAAATCATAAATTTTCTAAATAAATCTATTTAACTATATTTTTTAACATAGCTTGAAAAAATTACACAAAAAGTGTTTTCTAAACTCAAGGCACATCTGACAGAAACTATATTAGAAGTTGGCTTTGAGACCTGAAGAGTTCTAGTGATCCTTGTAATAGTTGGCTCATTATCAATTTGAAGTGTTCCAAAATGAGTCTCTTGTAGGCAAATGAAGTCAATGGAAGGCTTGGACGGCAAGATAGCCAATGAGAGTTTGCCTGGCAGCCAACAGCCCCTCAAAATTAAATGAAATTTGGAGAGCAAGCCCTATTCCCATAAAGCGACATACTTGCTCAATTTGTTTATTCCTTCATTGGATGTGGATGTGGCTGTGGCTATTTAGATCAGCATTTATCGTGCATTCTACTTGTCCCAGATAAGGTGGTGGTAACACCCTGTACCAAGCTCTTTCATTTGACTTTTCATCTGGTCACATAGGCGTCTAGGTATTAAACACTTGTGAATTAATAATTGGATGATGTCATCAGACACTAGTTTTTCTGTATTGACTGGGCTTTGATAAAGGCTCTTTTCTGCAGTCACTCTAAGGCTGCGGTGTTCAGAATTTTATGTAATACTCCAGCTGAGGCCAAAACAGTGTTTTATGCAGGTTTAACGCAAGTTCCTTACTTTTCCATGCTATGCCTATCTTAATAAAGGCTGAGATACTGTTTGCCTTTGTAGTGTTCTCAATCTGTCTCGCCATCTTTAATGATTTATGTACATTTACATTTGGGTCCCACTGTTCCCATACACCTTTAGAATTGTACCCTTTATTTTCTATTATTCTCTCTGTTCTTCCTACCAAAACAAATCACTTCTCTGAATTAAATCTAAATTTCTACTTGCCTGTCCATTCCCATTTGAAAATCCTACTTCTTTTTGGAGCTGTATACAATCCTCTATGTTTCACAATATTTACAAGTTTTGTATCACTCCCAAACTTTCGCCATGTACACAAAGATACAGATCATTAATATATAGCAGGAAGAGCTAGCTTCTAAAACCAGTCCCTGCGGAACTCCATTACGAATCTTCCCCCAATCTGGAAACCAGAAAATTTCATATCCATTTGTTACTGTTTCTTTTATTCAATGAACCATAACTAAGTTCACAAGTCTGCTGTGAAAACCTTTATCAAGTATCTTTTGAAAGTCTGTGTGTAGAACATGAACACCACTACACCCTTCACCCTGTTAGCTCAAAAATTTACCCATAACACTTCTGTGCTGGCAGTCCTTAAATTCCCACATTTACCAAGCACCACTTCATTTGTGCTGAATTAGCACTTCCAAAAACTTTCCCACCAAGGTTAAACTGGCTGGCCTGTAGTTGACAAGCTTATCTTTACAAAAGGGTGTAACATCTGCAATTCTCTAGTCCCCTGGCACCAACCCTGTGTCTAAGGAAGCCTGGACAATTTTGACCAGTGCTTCTGCATTTTCCACAGTCACTTTCTTCGCTATCCTTGGAAGCATCTCATTTGGTCCTGGTGCCTAATCAAAATTTAAGTTGACAGCCTATCCAGTACCATCACCTTATCGATTTTAAACACTTCACATGCCAGAATTACCTCGTCTCCGAGCATGTCTTTGACCGCATTTCCGTCTTTAGCAAAAACAGACGTTCAGATATTCATTTAGGACACCAGCCATGCCTTTGCCCAAATCCACTTTTTCATCCCTGTTCAGCCCCACTCCCTCTTACCACCATTTTGTGATTTATCTGCCCATGAGCACAATTAAACCTGATAGTTTCTTTTTACAATAGAGAAAACGAAGTATGCTATGGTCTTTGAAATTTATTTTGATGGCATTTGTTAGTTAACATCATTCACGTCTTCCATACTGAAGGCTAAAAAATGTATTTTGATAAATGAATGAACTAAGCATAGACAAAAATAGCGACTAACATCTTATAGTGCAGCTGCAGTCTACATATCCTTTATATTGAAACAGCTATTTGCTTCAAAAACAGTTTAACAACAGAAAAGAATTGATTACCGCAAGTGTACTATCTCCCACATTGGAAGCTATAAGGCCATCAATTGCTCCATTTTCAGCATCATGGGCATGTAACCTTTGCATCCTATTCTGGTGAATTTTGCGGCAAATCAAGACAGCAACCACAGACAAAACTACCAGCACTATAACTGGGCTAACTACAAAAATGATTAATGTCTCCACACTGTAGTCGATTGGTTCTTCTTTAGGTGCTGAAACAAAAAGAAACAAAAATTAATAAAATAATCCATTTTCATTCTGTCAGTGTTGATGGGTTTTAATAGTTTTCTTAAAGGAAATAACATTTCTCTCATAGAATATACACAGTTCCACTTACATATCAAAGGAGGTGCTAGAATAGTGTTATTTTTCAATTGTGTTTTAGAGAAGTTCCTTGGGATGTGTAGCAAATGAGGGAAGTGTTGAGTTACCAGGAATCATGGCACATGAAAACGGAAAACAAGGATGAAGGAGAGAGATCTGGACTGGCTGCTGGGAATCGCTTCCTTTTTAATTTTCTAATGAAATGTGGGTATTGCAGGCAAAGCTGGCATTTGCTGCTCATTTCTAATCATCATTTCAGAGGGGAAATAAGGATCAGCTACAGTGTGGTGAGTTTGACATCACATTTAGGACAAGAGTATTTAAGACTGGCAGATTTTCTTTCTAGAGTATATCAGGATACAGTGAACCAGTTAGGATTTTACAACAAATGACAGTTTCAGGCTCACTATTATTGACATTAGCTTTCAATTTCAGATACTAACGTTCAATTTAAATTGCACCAGCTGTCATGATGGTATTTCAGCCTGTATTCTCAAAGCATCAGCCGGAGCCTTTGGATTACTAACCCCAGTGACATTACTAAGGGGCAACCATATTACTATGAACCCTAGTGAATAAGGAATGTTTCATTGTTCATCCCAGATCAATCTGCCTGTTGTTGCTACTGTCTGCAGCAGCTTAGCCATCATCAAACATATCAATCCTTTACAAACACAAAACAGAAACATATGTTTAAAAAATGCAATAGATTTTCATGTGTACTTTACTCCTATAATATCACAGGTGAGCAAGAAAGCGGTTTTCACTAGAAATAAACAGCACTTAGGATGTTATACATGGCAGCTTTGAAATGAATGCTAATATAAATGGGTAATTTGCATTGCATTCAGACTAATGTAGTCAATTGCCTATTTCAAACGTGGGCACTCATCAGTAGGGATTTTACTCAAAAATGCTTTGACAGAAACTTGCAGTTTCTTTTAAAGATTCTTGATCTCCCAGGGTTTTGTTCACAAACTTTACTGATGTTGCTTTGGGTTACAGATTCTGAAATTTAAACACAATAAAATTATGAACAATTATTTAACATTTTCTGTTCCTTTACATCTTTTCAAAATTATCCCTCAAGAGTCTATACCACCTTCAACGTACGTTTACTACTAACATACGAACATGCAGACCCTTCTTTTCACTGATCTGCTGACTTGCAGCCTCACCTGCATCTGAAATCACTTTCTTGTTGCTTACCCTGCTACTTGTAATCTCTGCCACTCCAGAAGCCACCTCTTACTACCAGCCTTTCAATGTGTGATCTCTGGATTTCCTGGATATTCCCTCTCACTGAATCTTTCAATCCTCAACTCTCTTGCCTGCTGCTTCCCTTTAAAAGGTGGGGTTGGGAGGGGAAGAAGTAAGATGGATGGCGGGAAGAAGGTGTGCTAGGAAGCAGGCAAGGGTAGCTTCAAAATGTGCCATTCAGGTCATGTAGTCTTATGTCATACCAGCAGGAAACTACTTTAAAGTAAATCTCATGATGGCAGATGAGAATACAGGGTACAACGATCATTAAAATGAAAGAATGCCACATGGAATCATAGAATTCCTACTTTGTGGAAAGAGGCCATTCAGCCCACTGAATGTACACCACCCCTCTGAACAGCATTCCACTCAGACACTACCCCATCCCATAATCCCACATTTCCATGGGGCAGGTTAAATGAGGTTACAGCTCCATTCAATCCACAAGCATGACTGTGACCTTCTAGTCTGTTGCCATTTCCATATACCATTTTGTTCTCATGCTAACATTTATGTCTTAGGCCTGCGGCACCATTTCACACAAGCTCAAGGAACACTACCTCATTGACCAAATTTGAGAATTTGTTACTTTATGAATTTAATATCAAATTCAGCAGGTTCAGACCATAAACTCTACCCATCTGTTTGATATTTTTCTTTTCAGTGTTTGCATCTTGTTTTCATGTATCTTCTTTCAGTCAGAGCTGACTTTTATTCTATTAGTAACACCTACTCTGGACTAATGCTCTGTTTGGTTACTAAAATAATTTCCACTCACTATGCCTTTTGTTCCACGACTAATTTTCCTTGCCTTTTCTTGACCTTCCTATTCTGTTCAACTGGCCCTCCACCCAACTTTAGCAACAATTTGAAACTATCACATTTCCAACTCTCTTTAGTTCTGAAGAATCATCACTGGACTTAAAACGTTAACTTCACAGATGCTGCCAGACCGGAGTTTCTCTAACACTTTTTATTTTAAGTGGGGACTTACCATACAATAAAATTCATACATTCTTGCTAAGTAGTAAGGCATTTCTGTAATTTTGCAGTTTAAATCAGAGACAGTCAAATGATTTTAGAAGATTTCAATTAACCTTAGCAATATAGGCAGGGAAACATAAAGACCACTAATTATTTGATTTAACACATTTTTATGAGACTGAGAAGCTGTACATTGCTTCATGTCATGTCATGTTGTGTTAGTTAGAGCTGTAGGAAAACGAACCAGCTATTGGAAACAAAGGAAAGTCACATTCTAAGGTCAGTCACAATAAGGGTTATGTGTCATGCTTCACAGGCAATGGATCTCAGGAATAGTACTAAACAAACGGTTACTGGATATCATGTCAATCACTTGCCTGCTCTGCTCACACTATATATGTATGGAGCATCCCATCTTTGAAACACAACACTAAATAAATCTCACTGGTCGCCTCCAAACTACTGTCAGAAATGGCATTTTGTTAGCATCTGTGCAATGTTCAAAGAACTTTGAAAGGTCATATGAATTGACGACAGATTTCACATTTTACTTGTATATTTAACATCGTTCATGTAAAGGAAAAACCTTAAACACTAAAAATGGCTGTAAAACTGGACAGTCAAGTTTGGCAATATGTGTAAATTCAATCATCTTGAGCATAACTATGTCGAGTAACACCGATTTCTTCTGCTAGCAGTTCAGGGTGTTCTGAACTGCAAACCTTTTCTTCAATTATTGCAAGCCAACGACGCTGCTAAAAATAGTAATATTACATAACATTATGTTAGGACACAGAGACAGAGAGCCAAATCAAATCCACGTTTCTTTCTCTGTATTCACAGCATAATAAAACTAAAGCCTTCAAAATCTTTCAAAATTGACTGAATGTTTCCTAACCAGATTTTTTTGAATCACCAACTCCAGGCTTTGTGAATAAATAATTCCAGACACAGGTTTCTTTCTTAAACAAAAACCTTAGCATCAAACACAGTTAATGGATAAACAAAAGAAAATAAACTGGCCAAAGTACTTAAGTGCTTTTCACAATGCACTGTTCCACAGACATGGATGATGGCTTCTTGGTTAACTTTCTGCAGAACTTTTTGATCAAGAACTAACCTGTAATTAACTTGCAGGTCTGGTCTCATGAATAAATAAAAGATTGTTTGGTCTGTTTTCCTTTTAACTCAAGCTGTTGCAAACAGTCCAAAAGTCATCTTTTGCTCTCAGTTCCCAGTCACAGCTCCAAACCAAAATTGATAAAAGAATAAAATAAAAATGTGTAGGTTCTGTATAAGATATTAGCAATAAACGAATGGCAGAGGATTACTGGGAATGCCAAAGTCAGAAACGCACTGGATAAGACCTAGAGATGTTATAGGATCTGCGTGCTGTTTGGCAAACGTGCCAGTGGAATATGCTAAAGTGCTCAAGCAAACCACAATATATACATTTGTTTCTTGTAAAAGAATGAAGATATCCTAATCCTTACCTTGAGAAAGAAGAGGCATTGCTGTAATATTCCTGTTACACAGGCTTTCGTTGCAGCAACGCACTACAGAACGTTCTGAGGGCAAGATCTTACATAACATTTCAACTTTTTCAAGTGAGTCAAAACACCCTTTCTGGTACACCGAAACATCTCCATTTTGTGTCACTGAAGCAAAACACCGTAGGCCGTTGCATTCAGTCTTTGTTCCACAGGTACTGCCCTCACATATGCATTGAAGACTTGAGCTTCCTTCATCTACACATGCATAACAAAAAAAGCAAATTTTGCACAATGTTAGAGTGACCAGATACAACCTTTTAAGGCAATTTGTCAAATTCAACATTTGAAAAGATTTTGTGCTTAAGCAAGCTTAAATGTAAAAAATATAAAATCTAGTTCTATCACACTCACTGAAAGTGATCAACTATATCTGCAGGGAAAATAGCTTTAAAGATGAATTGATGCACACGTCCTTGACCATGCAGATGTACCTAAACATCCTTATTCTAACTAAAGATAAATGATGCTCCAAACATATTCCGCATATCTGGGCTGAAATGCCATCATCCACAACTGACATATTTAACAGTCATATTTTACAATTCTAGACCAGCACCAAAGTCTTCAGCAAAATCTGTCATTGTTTTTATTTAGGTGGAGCATTTTTGCATTTTTTCATCAAGCCATTTTAACATAGGTTTTAGATCTTCAATCAGCTTTTCCACAAGAAATTTTCCTTCATTACTGCTACGGTGATCAAGCCACATCCAGCCCATAGGTACCAATGCTTGTCCAATGAAACTTAGGGCACCTAACATTCAAAATTGGCCTCACAAGTCAAATTTCTGAATAGGAAATGGAACTATCTGTGAAAAGGAAAGTCTTGCTAAAACTATACAAGGCACTAGTCAGACCACAGCTGGAAAACTGTGAATATTTGGGTCCCCTGCCTGAGCAAAGATACACTGGCACTGGAGGCAATTCAAGAAGGTTCATTCAGCTGATACCAGCTATGTCTTATGAGGAGAGGTTGAGAAGGTTAGGCTTGTACTCATTGGAAGAATGAGACGTGACCTTATTGAAACATACAAAATTCTCAGAACTTGACTGGCTGGATTCAGAAAGGTTGTCTCTCCTTGTGGGAGAGGCTTGAACCAAAGGGCATAATTTCATAACTAGGAGTCATCCTTTTCAATCAGTGATGAGGAGTAATCTCTTCTCTCAAAGGGTAGTTAATCCATGGGATTCTTACCAGAAGTCTGTTCAGCCTGGGTCATTAAGTAGATTCAAGGGTGAGATAGACATATTTTTAATCAGGAAAGGAATCAAGGGTTATGGGGATAAGGCAGGAAAGTGGAATTGAGGATCATCAGATCAGCCATGATCTTAATGAACAGCAGATTCGATGGGCTGAGTAGCCTGCTTCTGCCTCTACATCAAGATCAAGAACACACTGTGAATCAAAAAGCCATGACAGCTCAATCTGCAACAGCATGAACAATGAGGCCATTGTGTAGGTATGAATATAAACATTCCCCATGGAGTGACAGATCATCAACCAAACAAACCAGAATAGACTAAGCCTGCGAACACATCTGTACAGCCACAAAGAACATCACAAAGCATTGGCAAGCAAGGAAATTTAAATAGCACGTATACAAATGCACCAAATCATGACTCTAAGCAAATAATTGCTATTTGCTAAGGGTTCTATAGCTTCATTGGTAAGACAGAGTGCCAGCAAAAGGCATAAGACTACCACGTGCACAGTGGCCCAGAACGTATTTTATTATTTATTCACAGGATGTGGATTTCACTGATTCAGCCAGCATTTATTGCCCAACCTTAACTGCCCTCAAAGTGGTGATGAATAGCTTTCTTAAAATGCTATCAATGAAAACATGGATAAACCTATATACTATTTGAGATGGCATTCCAGGATTTTGACCCAGTACCAGTGACGGGAAGGTGATGCAGATTTAAGTCAGGACGGCAGTGGTTTGGGGAGGAAACTTGCAGATGGTGGCATTCCCACGCACCTGCTGCCCTTGCAAGCATTCAGGTTGTGAGTTTGGGAGGTACAGTCTCAAGGAGCTTTGGGGAGTTGCTGCAGTGCATCTTACAAATGGTACACACTGCTGCCATTATGCATCAGTGATGGAGTAGAAACTGAATGTGTTAGCTGGGTTGTCAATCAAACTTTATCCTGGATAGTGTCAAGCTTCTTGTGTTGCGAGAGCTGTATTCATCTAGATGAGAGTGGACTTCATCACACTCTTGACTTGCCTTGGACAGGATGGGCATGCTTTGGGAAGATGGGTAGTGAGTTCTTCACCATAAAATTCCCAGCTTCTGCCCTGCTCTTGTAGCCACTGTAGTTATATATCGGGTCCAGTTTGGTTTCGGTCATTGGTAACTCCCAGAAGTTAACAGTGAAGGACTCAGCAATGGTAATGCCATTTCATATGAAGGGACATGGTTAGGTTCTCCCTCATTGGAGATGGTGATTGGCTGGCACTCATGTGGCACGAATGCTACTCATCACTTATCAGCCCAAGCTTGGCTGTTGTCCAGGTCTTGCTGCTTATGGACATGCACTGCTTCAGTGTCTAAGCTATCAGGATGGTGTTGTGCACTGGGCGATTATCAGCAATTATGATTACCATCTTCCTCATGCTAGGTAGGACTCCAACCAGCAAACTGTTCCCTGATACCCATTGATTTCCAGTTTTGCTAGGGCTCTTTGATGCCAAGCTGGATCAAAAGTTGCACTGATGTTAAAGGAAATCACACTCAACTTACCTCTGGAGTTCAGCTCCTGTCTATGTTTAGGACCATATTAACAGTAGGCAAAACAGAAAGTTCACTGCAACTGCTAACCCAAGTTTTATAATGGGAGACTGCTTGTGCGAGCACAGCAGAGACACACCGAGTAGCAAGTTACTCTGGTGTTCTTGCCAACCACATAACTAGGGAAGTACAGAGGATTTTAAAATGAATAGTGGGACAAGGGATCAAATTTTGGAAACTGCGGTAATTAAAGAGCAGAGTCAAGGCCAAAGAGAAAGGAATTAATACAGGAAATGATAAATCACTCAAGACAGGAAAGGATAGAGAGTATAAATTTATAAGTCAACCAACAGATAAAATTAGAATTTACAAACAGTAAATGAATAAAACTAACGCTCAGTATCTAAATGCACATAACATTCGAAACAAAACAGAGGAAGTGTTCCTGCAAAAAGAAATGAATAAGTATGATCTTGGCCATCATTACATAGACAGGGTTGCACGGTGACATGGATTGGGACCTCAACATTGAAAGGTACAGGACATTGAGGAACAAGAAGAAAGTTGGAAAAGCTGGAGGGATTGCTCTGTTAGTTAATGATGATGATATTAACCCCATACAGAAAGATAACCTAAATGTAGGTAATCAAAATCTGCAAACAGTTTGGGTAGGTAGAAGAAGTGATTAAGGCAAGGATTAATTTGAGGGATTGGTATACAGGTCCCAGAACAATAATCACAAAGTAGTGTAAGGTATAAAGCAAGACATAATGACAACTTTTTAGAAAGGCACAGTGATAATCACAGGTGATTTTAATCTAGTTAGCTGGAAAAGCCATATGGGCAGAGGTAGTACAGATGAGAAATTCATAGAACATTTTCAGGATAGTTTCATACATTCTGGATCCGACCAGAAAGCATGCTTTACGAGACCCGGTATTGTGTAATGAGTTAGGATTAACAAATAACGAAGGTGCCACCTGTTAGAGTAATTATAATGTGATTGAATTTTACATTCAGTTTGACAAATGGGTCTGAGACTGTTCTTTACATTTTTAAATAAGGGTAATTATGAGGGCATGAAAGCACAGCTGGCTAAAGTGAACTGGCAAATTAAGCCAAAGGACAGGTCAATAGAGACAGTTATGGGGATATTGATACATCCTAATGAATAACAAAATATTCCAAGAGGCGTACCCACCATCTGTGGTTAATTAGAAATGTTATAGACAGTATCAAACTGAAAGAAAGAAACTGGAGAATAACGGAAAATAAGAAAATGGCAGATGAACTCAACAGGTATTTTGCATGTGTTCAAGTTAAATCCCAAAAGGAATAAATCAGGAAATAGAAGGGAGACAGGAACTTACAAAAAATCACAGTCGCCAGACAAGTGTACCAAGTAAGATGTTGGAGCTGCAAGCTGACCTGCGCCCATCTCTAATAGATTTTATAGGAACGCCTTAAAAGACGGGGCTAGTGAGATGGTTAACACATTTATTTTAATTTTTCAAAAATCACTTAATTTGGGAATTGACACATTAAATTGGAAGTCTGTAAAAGTAATTAATTTAGACAAAGTGAGAGGGAGTCCGAAAGCAGGAGCTTACAGGCCAGTCAGCTAAATATCTATCATAGGGAAAATGTTAGAAGCTATTATCAAATAAGCAGGGTAGGGGAGTCTAAAACTAGAGGGCATAGGTTTAAGGTGGGAGATTTAAAAGGGATCTAAAGGACAACTTTTTCCACACATGGGTGGTGCGTGTATGGAATGAACTGCCAGAGGAAGTGGTACAATTACAGCATTTAAAAGGCATCTGGATAGGTATATGGATAGAAAGGTTTCAAGGGATATGGGCCAAATGCTGGCAAATGGGACTAGATTAATTTAGGATATCTGGTGGGTATGGTTGAGTTGGACCGAAGGGTCTCTCTCCATGCTGTACATCTCTATGACTCTACAAGTCTAAGTTAAAGCAGGGCACTTAGTTAAGTTCAAAGTAATCAGACAAAGTCAGCTTGGTTTTGTGAAAGATAATCATGTTTGACCAATCTTTTCCAAGTTTTTGAGTTGTAATGCATAAAGGATAAAGGATCGATGGACGTGGTGTACGTAAGTTACAGATGACATTTGATAAGGCTACATATCAATAGTCATTATGTAAAGTAAAAGCTCATCCTTTATTTATTTATTCATTAACGGGATGAAGACATTGCTGACTAGGCAGCATTTATTGTCCATCCCTAATTGCCCAGAAGGCAGTTCAGAGTCAACCACATTGCTGTGGGTCTGGAGTCACATGTAGGCCAGACCAGGTAAGGTTGGCAGTTTCCTTCCCTAAAGGACATTAGTGAACCAGGAGGGTTTTTCTGACAATTGACATCATTAGATTCTTAATTCCAGATATTTATTGAATTCAAGTTCCACCATCTGCCATGGCGGGATTTGAACCCGGGTCTTCAGAATGTTATCTGGGTCTCCGGATTAACAGTCCAGCGATAATACTACTAGGCCATTGCCTCCCCCTAGTTTCATGGGTAGGAGGTAGCATATTGACATGGATTGAAAATAGCTGGTTAGCAGAATGCAGGACCTTTTTCAGGTTAGCAAGATGTAACAAATAGTGTGACACAGGGATCAATGCTGGGACCTCAACTGTTTATAATTTATATTAATGACTTGGTCAAAGGAAGGGCATGGTTGCCAAATCTGTTGACAAGACAGAGATAGGTAAGAGCATAAGCTGTGAAGAGGATACAACGAGTTTACAAAAAAAACATTGATGGGTTAAGTGAGTGGGCAAAGGTGTGGCAAATAGAATATAATTTGGGAAAAGGAGAATGTGTTCATATTGGCACAAGAATAAAAAAGCATTTTATTTAAATAGTAAGACATTTTACAGCTCTGAGATACAGAATGACCTCGACCTTCTCATGGTATCAATCGCAAAAGGTAAGTATGCAGTTTCAGCAAGTAATTCGGAAAGCTAATAGAATGTTATCATTTATCGCGAGGGGAAGTGAACACAAAAAATGAAAGGTTATGCTTCAATTACACAGGGCACTACTGAGACTGCCTCTGGATTACTGTGCACTGTATTGGTGACCTTATTTAAAGAAGGTTGTACGTACACTGGAGGCAATTCACAGGATGTTTACTTGACCATTATCTGGAATGGGCAGGTTGTCTTATGAGAGAAGGCTGGACAAGCTAGGCTTATATCCAGAGATCGGGGGAACTGCTGATACTGGAGAATCTGAGATAACAAGATGTAAAGCTGGATGAACACAGCAGGCCAAGCAGCATCAGAGGAGCAGGAAAGCTGACGTTTCGGGTCTGGACCCACTCCAGTTTAGAAGACTAAGAGGCATCTTTATTGAAGCATATAAGATCCAGAAGATTTTTAGCATTACAGATGTGGAGAGGTTGGTTCCTCTTACTAATTTTTAAACCTATTTTCTAATCAACCTGTTCAGAGATGTTATTACACACCTCTGGAGCGTTTGGGACTTTAACTTGGGTCTGTCGGTCCAGGGGTAGGGACACTACCACTGTGCCAAAAGAGCCCCCTTGGTTCTTCTTTTTTTCCCCTAATCAACCTGTTCAGAGATGTTATTACAGACCTCTGCAGCAGGTAGGACTTGAACCCAGGCCTCTCTGGTCCGGGGAGAGGGACACTACCACTGTGCCACGAAGCCCCCCCCGCATCTTGGTTCCTCTTATGGGAGATTCTAGAATTAGAATCATTAAAACAGGTAATTTTTCTCTGAGAGGATTGACTGTCTTTGGAACTCTGCTTCCACCACAATATCAGGGAGACCCGAGTCCTTGAATATTGTTAAGGCTGAGGTAGGTAGATTCTTGTTAAGTAAAGATGTTGAAAGATTATTGGCTGGCAGGAATAAGGATTTGAGATTACATTCAGATCAGCCATCGTCTTATTGAATGGCAGAGCAAGCTCAAGGGGTTGAATGGCCTACTCCTCCTCACAATTGATATGATCGTTTGTATGCAACTTACTAAAACCTAAAATAAATCTTGTTACTTGGTCAACTCATTTGTATCATAGGCAAATCCTGATGGTAACTGAACAGCTATCTCCTAGTATCAAACATGCCTCAGAGCTCTTATAATTGAAAGAGTTTAGTTTAAAATTAACATACAACCAATCAAGGTGTGTCTAGTCTATTCAATAAAAGACAGCTGAATCATCCAAATTTTAAATAGCAATGAAATGAAATGAAAGAAAAATAACTGTACCCAATCATTAATGCATAGTAACCATGTTGGGAACAATGGTTCAGAAAACAGCTAGCTGATTGTCAGAAATATAACTTACCTTCAGCTCCACAAAGGAAGTTCTTTGGGACCAAAAGCAGGAGTAAAAGGATGCTCCATTGGGCCATCAGGAAAAAGCGACTGCAAAACAAGAACAGACATTTTTTCAGACCTCGGGGCTCCAATTATAGTCATACAGCACCCAAATATACCCTTTGGTCTAACTGGTCCATGCCGACCAGACATCTCAATCTGACCAAGTCTGATTTGCAGCATTTGGCCCATATCCCTCTAATCCCTTCCTATTCACATACCTATCCAGATGCCTTTTAAATGTTTTAATTGTACCCGTCTCCACCACTTCATCTGGCAACTCGTTCCATACACACACCATCCTCAGTATGAAATAGTTACCCCTCGGGTCCTTTTTAAATCTTTCCCCGCTCACCTTGAACCTATGCCCTCTTGCTTTGGACTGCCCCACCCGAGGAAGAGTAACTCGGCAATTGACGCTATCCATGCCCCTCATGATTTTATAAACCTCTATAAGGTCGCCCCTCAGCCTCTGACACTCCACGGAAAATAGCCCCAGCCTATTCAGACTCTCCCAATAGCTCAAACCCTCCAGTATCGGCAACATCCTTATAAATCTTTTCTGCACCTTCTCAAGTTTAACAACATCTTTACTGCAGAAAGACAACCAGAATTGTATGCAGTATTCTAACAGTGGCCTCACCAGTATCCTGTACAGCTGCAACATGACATCCCATCTCCTACATTCAATGGTCTGACCAGTGAAGACAAGCATCCTTCACTACCCTGTCTACCTGCGACTCTACTTTCAAAGAACTATGCCCCTGCAGCTCTAGGTCTCCGTTTGGCAACACCCGCCAGCAACTTATCTAAAAGGACAGAAACCTCAGTGCTTTGGTGTAGAGAAATGTGGGTTTCATCATGCTTGAATCACAGAAAGCTAGCATGCAGGGTACAGTGGGTAATAAGTAGAGAAATGTTCCTGCAACTGTACAAAGCATTAGTGAGACCACATCTCAAGTATTGCATACAATTTTGGTCCCCTTACTTGAAGAGGGATGTATATGCCTTGGAGGTTCCCCAAGCTGATCCCAGAGATGAGTGGCTTGCCTTATAAACAGAGATTGAGCAGTTTAGGCCTGTACATTCCTCACGTGGAGAAATCTAGAACTAGAGGTCATAGTTTTAGGATAAGGGGCAGCAGATTTAAAAGAGAGATGAAGAGAAATACTTCTCTCAAAGAGTAATGAATCTGTGGAACGCACTACCCCAGAGTATGATAGATGCTGGGACATTAAGTAAATTTAACGAGGAGATAGACAAATTTTTAATTAGTAATGGATTTTAAGGGATTATGAAGAATGGGCAGGAAACTGGAATTGAGGCCAAAATGAGATCAGGCCAAGTAGATTCAAAGGGCTGAATGGCTGACTCTTGCTCCCAGTTCTTATGTTCTTAATATGATATTTATTGTGAACATTTTTTGTCCAGCTGTAGGGACATCAGTGGTAGCAGATGAACTGGAGCCAATGTGTTGTGTATAAACAGAGGTCTGATTGGCAACTAGTAGTGGATTGGTTTATGGAATAGTGACCAGTTACCAATGACAAAGATCTGCCTGTCAATAATTGTGGGATTCGTTTTCCCATAGCTGAGCAGTTTGGCATTTTAACAACATATAGAGAAGCCTTTGAACTATCACCTGCTTAGGATCTCGCTGTCTCTCTCTTTTCCCTGCAGCAAGCTACTTTAAGCCTTCAACAGTGGATGTGAGCTGCAACTTTTACTAAAAATTTCTGGCTTATTTAATGAACCAACCATCCTATCCCTCTCCATGCTATTGAAAACACCTATAGAAGGATGACTGACAAGTAGCATTCTGACCAGCACAAGAATCATCTCAGCAAACCTTGTGAACAGGAATTACTGAACCGCTTTCCTAGTTTTTCCCACTACTCATGACCCATGATTTTCATGTATGTGCGCATACACATATTTGTGTAAGGAATGTTTATAGGGAAATTAGAATTTTAATTAGTGAGTTATATGTCAACATTTTATGATTAATTATTAGTAATGAATAGTCATTTTCATTAAGTACAAAAACATGCTTTATCAACTGGGTCAGTTAAATTTGGGAATCTTTGCATTCCTTTAAAATTTTTATCTTTTGTGATGACTCGGGCATAGCAGGGCTTGATTTTCAGTTTACTATCCCAGTGAGTCATAACACAAGAGCAAACCTCCAATTGACAGCCACTGTATCACCCAGATGCTGTTTCAATGCTTTTGCTCATTGCACAGGGATGCATCAGAGTTGCTCGGGGCAAGTGAGTCAGTTTCTAACACAAGTCTGTGTTCAGAACACTCCTCCCTTGCTGAAAAATAGAGGTCCCAGGGCAGGATCACAGAGGTTCTTCACAGCACAAAGCTGATGTTCTGACATGAAAGTTATCTGATAATGAATGAATGACTATTCATGTCTACATATCTGGAATAGATTCAGAGATTATATCAATTGAAATGTTTAAATCTTTGTAGAAAGTGAACATTAGCATATATAGTTCATATTTATTCGGTACATTTAACATAATGAAATGCACTAAAACACTTCAAAAGATGTGTTATAAAACAAAGTTGACATCAAGTCACACAAGAAGAATTAGATCAGATGGCTAAAAGCTTGGACCAATATCTAGGTTTTAAAGAGTGTCTTAAATAGAAAGTGAAGCAGCGATGCAGAGAGGTATATGGAGGGAGTTCCAGAGGTTGGGGCCCAGGCAACCAACAGCCCTGCCAGCACAGGTGGAGCTATTAAAATTGGAATGCACAAGAGGCCTGAATTCGAAGACAAGCAGATATCTCAGAGCATTATGGGGATGGAGGAGATTACAAATAAATTGAGACATAAAAGAAAATAATTGCATCCTGATTATGCTGTACTAATTGTCCTCACAGCAACTTACTACAAAGATTAATGGACTGCTTCTCAAAGCCTGTAATTTGTTCTTAATGATACGTATCAAGAAAACTGTGGTCACGGGACAGGACGCATCTGATCAGCCTAAATTACATTCCATTGGGAGTGGTTAGTAAATCCTTCCACCTTAGCACCTTTCTGACTGTCAATCCGTCACTTGATGCACAGCTCACTACACAAACAGGGGAAGTAACTACCATTGATGGTCAGCTCGTGAAACATGACTGAGATAACATCAAAATGAATTTTGAGCCCAAACAGATGGTTTAGAAGCCTCAGATGGTTTAGAAACACACTTAACATATTGTTGTGCAGTTTTGAAACATGGGTGGCTTAAAGCTACCAGGAAAGCTCTTGCAATAACTTACACCTTATTTGTTGTGTCACACTATGGGCATATCCTGGCAGGACAGAATCATGGAGGCAACACTCCTAGATGCATTAGAACTAACCAAACAGAAGTGGCTTCAGTGGCTCAGGTACATAGGTACATCTGCAGGACAGATAATAGTTGAATACTAAGGAGTTCTTATATGGTAAGGTAGCTGCAGCTAGATGACTCAGTGGGACACCCAAGTCCCTGCTTCAAGGATGCTTGCAAACATGGCATGAAGGCCCAAACATTGACAACCGCACCTGGGAGTCACTAGCTGGCGAAAGAGGGAAAAGGGCACACCACCATGACCAGTCACTACTGCAGCCTGGCAACAGCAAAGCAAGAAAAAAAACAGCCTACATTACTTGGCAGCTTCATGTGTCACTTTTGGCAGAACATGTCTCCCAAGGGTTGGTCTTTTACAGCAAATCAGCAAAGGAATGCCAAATGAAGACACCTCATCTAAATGGATTAGTGCTGTGTGTGTTCATCACCTCTTGTAATTGGAAGGGTGCCAACACAACACAGGTCATTAAAGGTGGAAATGAGTAACTCAATAGCTACTGAAATATTGTGGCACAGGGTGAGGATCAAAGGCTAGATAGCTGAGATTTTGAAAATGCAATTGTAAAACTTAAAAAGGTCAAATTTACAGCACAAGGGACAGAGCAGGGTACTGGGACTAAATGAGTAACTCCTTTAAAAAGCTGGCACCAGCATGATGGGCCAAGTGGCTTTCTTCTGTGCTGCATTCGGTAACTGTTTCTGAATCAGGTAATATCAACATTTAAATTTTTTGTAACTGGTTACAGAAAGGTGCAATGTAACATTAACAGTATAATATTTGTCCACTATTCAACACATTGTTGAATGAATTTAGTAACTGTATATTTACAGTTCCACTTCCAATTTAAAGTCCTTGATATATTCCTGAAAGGAATGTATTGGAAATTTGCTTACAGAACCAAAAATAAGAGCAAATAATGACACCCGATAATTTTACCAACAGGTTTTGACCAATGGCTGCTAGCATTCTTTTCTTCCTACCAAAACACTTAGCATTCCACTCACTTCTGTGTCTGTCTCTGTGCTGTATGACTAACAAAGATGACAGTATTCTAACAGGATCTTGTGGCTGTAGTGTTAACACTAAGAAACCTCATCACAATGCTCTGGTTAACTAGGCCAATACATGATCTGATCTTTTAGTCAGTGGAAGAGTATACACAAGTGTACACGCATGGCTCAGCATAATTACACAAACTAATAAGGCTGAAAATTGATAAGCCTCCAGGACCTGATATTCCATATCCCAGTGTGATGAAGGTGGTAGTTGGAGAGATAGTCAATATATTGGTAATCATCTTCCAAAATTCTATAGATTCTGGAATTATTCCTGCAGGTTAGAAACAAGCAAACACTATTTAAGAAGGGAGCAAGAGAGAAAGCAGGGAACATCAGCAGTATGGGATAAATGGGCCTTTTGAATCTGATTGAGCATAGTCATTGTGGATTTGCGACTGGGAAATTGTATTTGATTTTGTTGAAACTTTTTGAGGATGTGACTAACAGAATTCATAAAGGGAAGTCAAAGGATGGAGTACACTTGGATTTTCAGAAAGCTTTTGATAAGGTCCCTCACACTGGAAGTTGGTTAGCAAAAATCAAAGCACATGACATGGAGGTAATGTACTGACTTGGCTTAAGGATTGGCTTACACGCAGAAAACAGTGAGAATAAATGGGTCATTCTCAAGATAGCAGCCTGTGAATAGTTGGGCACTACAGGGATCAGTACTTGGCCCCCAGTTGTTTACAATGCATATTAATGAACTGGATGTGAGG